ACCAAGAAGTAAAATTCGTAAGTTTGAAGGCGTTGTTGCCGTTCTGAGTGAGAGAAGTGAGGAGAACCTTCCTGTGTTTGACTTGTCCCGTACAATACCAACCAAAAAAATTAACAACTTCGGAGACATAAGTGAAAATGCTCGGCAGCGCACAAGAAACTGGTGAATCTCACTGGGGGGTTAGAAACATCCGCTTTTCCTGATGAGGGCAGGATACCTCTCGAAACGTTTTATCAAGCTGGTTCGCATGATATAGGAAGAATTTTCAACCGTTTTGGAGTTATGAAGTTTCCAAATTCCGGCACTTCCGCGAGTAAAACCCTTGTCTGCGCCAAAAGATATTTCGGCAAGAAACAGCCACTATAGCGTGCCAAATAGCGCACAACAAAAAAGCGCCAAACCAATGAATCAACGCCACACAAATTGCTTTATTTCTAGACGCCCGCTTGATGTATTTGCCTAATATTCGCTAATTTAATTAGCCAAGAAGGCAGCAAGTTGCGTGCTGTACATCAAGCAGGTGTGATCAACTCGACTTTTACAGCCCGACTTTTTTCGTCAAGTATTCGTGATCATCGTCAGGCATTGGCTGCTGTTCTTCAAGCCGGCCACGACCATCTCGAACTCGTCCAGCAACTCCTTGCTGAACGGTTTTCCGATGAAAACCTCCATCAAGCCTTCCAGGCCTTCGAGGTTGTTTTTTTCAACGCTGAATTGGACTGAGTCGCCTTCCATGCCCACATTGGCCACTTTTCCTTTCTCCACCGCGAGAAATGCCCGGATGTTTAGCTGTTGAAACACGCTCCGATATAGGGTGAACTTTGGTGTTCTTCCAAACCGCCACTCCTCACTCAGAAACTTCTGTCTAGTTTGCGAAACTCCCGGAAAGTGGTCATCATCGATCGAATCCACCACTGCAACTTCACTCGACCACTCACTAATCACGGCGCTCATCACTTCTTCCACTGTAATTCCGGGTCTTTCTTCATTGAGGTTCATTATGGGCGATCGCACCGAAACAGAAGCATTCGTCTTCACATGTGGACCCAGCAAGTTTTTCAGCGCCAAGCTGATATGAGCAGTGTTGGCGTTGACCAATAGCGTGCAGTGATGGTACGCATTGGTTCTGCCCAGTTTGGAGGCGGTTCCAGATATCTTCAAGCCGTTAATGCAAAGGTCTTCTCGCTTGGTGATTTCCGGCGCCAAGTTGAAGTGCGTCGAGAGCGCTCTGGAACAGATGAAGACACCCGCTGTGTTAGCTTTGGTAAATCGCTATGATAAACAGGCTCCTCAACAAGTAGACATTGAGGTAATCGAAAAACTGGCAGGCCAATAAAGCTCCAGGGATGGATGATGCTCGAACTGTATGTTATA